GTTCCAATGATCCTGTACTAACAAGGAGTCGTTCAGAGAGGAATGTAGTCTCTGGTCGGCATGTGGTTGGAAGGTGAGGAAAACTGCTGAGGAGACAACGAGGAGGTTTCCAGAGTTTCAGAAGAGTCCAGGAACAGGTAAGTCTCACGAGGTACAGAAACAGCAAAAGACACAGGTAACAGGTCAATAAGACATTCAATGTCTAGAAGCACAAACCATTGGCAGGTAATGCTCCAGCGTCAAATAGAAGTCACCAGAAGCCTGTTATACGCTGGCGCCTCTTCAAGGAGATTGTTCGCAGGTGTGGTAGTTTGGCGCCATCTAGTGGCCTCAGGACAGAAGTGAAACAGGAACTCCCACATACAGTAGTCAAGCCTTGAGCTGCTAAAATCATGAATGGTCTTTCCCAGGTCATGATTAAAAAGGCTGGACTTTGGCTATAGAGGCTGTTTGTTTATCGTCAAAAGTCAGTCCCAAGTTTTGTAACTGTGGGTCTAAACTTGGATGTACCAAGGTCACAAGGAGCATTGTCACCAAAAATAACACTTTGTCATGTTTTCATTTAAAAACAAAAAGGCTTCGTTAAGCCACTGTTTAATGTCACCAATAAAATAAAAAAAGGACGTTTAAAAGTTGCTACCACTAGGCTTCATGGCAAAATAAATCAGTAGGTCATCAGCATAACAGTCAATGGTATATAGGTGTCTGGCTATAAATGAGTTAGTTATTAAAGCAGTTAAATTATTGTACACTATGGGATTTTTAGGAACTTTGATTGAACAGAGGACAAATATATTGTACAAATGCAATAATTATCATCTTACTAGCAATGCTGTTGGAACCAGTGAAAATTCATTAGTGATGTGGGGGTGTAAGACCCATCTACTCATTCACACATAATGTTTTAAGCATATAGGTTCTATTATTTATTTAAAATTTTTAGTGGTAATCAGTTATTTCATGCTTTTTTATTTATTTATTAAAACTTAAGTTAATTTTGTTTCCATGGAGGGGCGGAAATTGCAATGGAACCATGGCTGCTGTATTGGCTCTGGTTTCAACTTTCGGGGTTTTGTGTAAAATGTAGTAATTTAATACATGCCTGTGGTTTAGACAGGGTACGTCAGGGCTTAATTTGTAAACTGATCAATGCCAGAGGAGCAAATAGCGAAGTCTGGGGGTCATCCCCTAGAAAATTTTTAATGAAGTAGATGCGATTTCCTGCATTTTGGTGTAGTTTAACAGGTTGTTAAACATCTACATTTACCTACATTTGTAAACACACCGCCTCTGTAAAGCATTCTACACACTCCCCGTTACGTGACGGTTCCGAGCCCGACACCTTCTGTGCTCGTTGTTGTCTGACTCCACATGTGAAACCTCTAGACGCTTCCTCCATCTGTTCATGGCGGCTGCCTGTGGGCTCCCGCCCGCATACAACTATGGAAGTCACCATATATGACTGCCTGGTTAGCTCGGCACTCACCACCACTCTTTTAGGAGCAGAATTTTTTTTAAGAGTAGACACGGAAATGCTACTTGAAGGGGCAGCTCGTATGCTCGGAAGTAGCTGTTGTGTTTAAAATTAGTGTTTATGTAATCATTTTCAGTTTACATATCCAATATAAGTTTTATTCGTTCAAGGCAGTCATATTTGTACACAACTTTATTAATAGTAAGCCTGAGAGTTACCAGATTCAAGCAAACAGTTACTGGAACGCACCCTGTCGAAATAAGAGCGTTCCCAGATCCTGTTCCGGTAGGATCTGGTTCAAATTAAGCCCTGGGGTATGTCAGATGTGCTACTGCTAGATGCTACTCCTGCAAATGAACACAGAATTCATAACTGGCCTTGAAAGGTAATCTGAAATCAGCCTTTACCACTTTACATGTGTAAGGCCGCCATATTGAATTTAGATGTTTTAGGTGCTGTTCAGAAATTTTCAACTTTCCCAGTCGGAATTTCTGGTTTTGGGTCGTGGTTCCAATTATTTTCCCAACATGAGACTTGGAAATGTCTACTTAGATACAAATGGAACTAACAGTTAATCCTGCTAGAGCATTTTAATGGGATCTCCTTCGTTTTGGCAGAACTCAAAGTAGAGTTCTGGGTCCTTTTGGTTTTGCGGGTAAAAAAGTCGTTCAACTTTCTTCAGTATGGGTGAAAGACCTGGTCCAACACTGATAGCAGAAACAAAAGCACAAATATTTGTGTCTAAAACTTGACTACAAGCAGAACACATACACAAAACTATATATACTTTATAGAAAATGTAGATTTCCCATCTTGTTCTGCTTCATTTAGCTGCTAAAATAAAAATGTTAAATCCGTTTGTGTTCTCCCTTCCTCCATAAATGCAACACTTACCTGTTTTATTTTGAAACTCCTCACAGGAAGTCATTTTATTAAACCCATCAGGCTTCCCTCATGTAGGGGGGTATCTTTAAGCAGGACAGGAGCTGCAGGTTTGGTCCAGTCATTTTCATTCAGGTCCATTGCAGCAGAAATACAAGTTCTGATTAAGACTTTTATTTTTCTGTCAAATTTAGGAAAGGAGCATGTGGGATATTTCATGCCAGATATCTTGACACACTGGATACAAGGTGAGAGAAACTGATCTAATCCGCTAAAACAAATAGTTGACTTGAATTAGTTTGATTTTACTTTGACAGGAAGTTCTATATTTGAAGACGAACTAGCTGTAAAAAGATAAATTTAACTCTACATAGGCGTACTTTAGGTGCAGTGTCAGTGTAATCTGATTTATTTGTATAACCTGATAAAGATTAAATAAATGACTGTGAATGGTGAGACAGTTTGTTCAACAATGGGCTCGTGGGCAGAGAGGTTCTTCAGATGTCCACATGAATGTTGGCACCAGGCCTTCTCCCATCCTCCTCTTTCTCTCATTCCTTTTCATCGTCTTCCTCTTTCAGACTTGGCTTTTGTTTCCGCGGGAACTTTCATCTTTTGCCGCCGGCTTTCTTCTGAAACTCTCAAATCCGTGTCTTAAAAAATGTAAACCAACACGACACCGGAGAAGAGCTCTTGAAACTGACCTCAAGTCAGGTCTTAAACTGGATTTTAACCTTTTTTGTGAAAACAACCAAGATATTTTTATTGAGATAGACGTTTTTTTAGACCTCAGTTTGATCTGTTTTAAGAACAAAAGGCCAAGATGACAATATATTTTGCCTAAAAAATAAAAAAAAACACAAGACCGCTTCAACAAGTGCTACACCGATGTCCTCTGTCACTGAGGGATTTGAAAAGTGAATGCTTAACTTTTCAAGATGACCGTTTTTCTGAACTGGATTTGAACAGAGAATGCAAGTAAGCCTTAATGTTTTTATGTAAGATGTTCAAGTGGTATAGGAGTTACACTTTGGAGAAGAACAGAGGTAGTTTTTTTACTTGTTTGAGACGGCACTGTGTGACAGATCTTGGTGAGTGGAGGGAGCAATTTTACCCACCACAAGGCACAGTGGTGGAGCCAGGGGGTGGCCAGTGGTGGCCTTGGTCACCATACATTAAGCAAAACAAACAGTTGAAAGAATGGTTTCCTCAAATGATTGGACTGCCACAGACTTTTCTATGGCCACCTCAATCATTAGAGGAAACTACACTTTTAATCAATACAAAAACTAGAAAGCAGAGTTTCTTAAAAATAATTGGGGTGGCCTTTTTATATACATACACACACACACACACATACAGTAGTCCCTTACTTATCACAGGGTTACGTTCCAGTCACCCTCGCAGTAGGTGAAAATCCGCGAAGTAGGCAACGTTATATGTATTTTAGTATTTATATATATTTTAAGGCTTTATGAACCCTTCCCACACTCTTGCAATGTTCTTAACAATGTTCTAAACTCTCTAAAAGAGCACAGCAAAAGAGAGCAGACAGACTGGTGCTACGGTTACTGAGCCAATTGCTGGGACGGACTGGCCATCGGGAGCACCGGGACATTTCCCGGTGGCCTGACCCGCTCAGTGATCACCAAGGGGGACTAAAGGCTTGGTTCGGGCCACGCTTCATTATTTAAAATAATCAATCCATGTTGCTTGTGTGGCTCACTCAGGACAGATCCCCCACCCCTCCTTTCTTTTTCAGAGGCTGTCTGTCACAGCAGAGCAGAGACACACAACAGGTTGCGTGCCCGCCTGTTGTGTGTCTCTGCTCTGCTGTGACAGACAGCATGAGAACGAGAAAGGAGGGGAACCCTTGGTGATCACTGAGCGGGCCAGGCCACCGGGAAATGTTCCATTGCTTCCGATGGCCAGTCTACCCAACAGCACAATATTCTGGTTGGTCGCCTTCCATCGATCAGCCAATCGTGTGTCGTGTACAATCTTACGTTGAAAACACACGAAAGAGTGAGTCCACGAAAGTTAAACCACGATAAACGAGGGACTACTGTATGTATATATATATATATATATATATATATATA